TTATATCATATTATTAGTGGTGTGTGTGTGTGATGTTTGTAAAAATCATGGACGCAATCAGCGTGCCTCTAAGAATAATTTAAATATTTTTTAAATATTTCGGGAAGGATTGAACCGTCAAAATCTTTTGTTCTATATACGTGCCTGATTGTAGTCTTAGGACCTTAGGTTCTACCCGTCCAGCAAAGCGATGAATAATTACGTGAAAATATTGGCGTGCCAGGACTTACCGCAAACCGTCTTCCATGTACTCGACGACATACTCGTTGCTGATGGTACCGTCTTCGTCGGTGTCGTCGACGATCACGTCCCGGACCGCCGTCCAGTCGAGTATGTAGCCGCGGCGCCTTTGCGATTCGGACGGCCGGGACAGACGCTCGGTGAGATCTGCAAACCGGTCGCCGGCGTACAGGTCGGGCACCGGTGGCCTCGGACGTCCGTCGGCCGCGTACGGATACAGGTTGCGGCGCGCCGGGACGACCGGCGCGGTGCTGTGACAGGCCGACGGCATCAGCGTGACGCATGTTCCCGGTAGCCACGTTCCAGGCGGACTGCGCTTCGTCCGGCGTCAGGTCCGGTCGGACCGGCCGTGATGGCTGCGAGCAGCGCGTCGACCGTGAAGCAATGCAACCGAATCAGCTACCGCGTTGCGCCGAAATTGTTTTTTCCACAGATGTTGCGACAATAATTTTCGACGTTTTTTTTTTTTCTATCGTTGTTGTTGTCAACGGATCGCGCGTACTTATATTTCGGTTACGCGTGTACCGTTTCGTGTACGGCTGTCGTGTCGCGTTTGAGGTGCCGCGATGGCTTTCGGTTCGGTTCTGACGCTGCTGCCGGGTGCACCGCAGCCGACGTTATCGTCTCGACCTTTGACCGCCGACGTGGCCGCGTCATCGCCGCACCGCCGCGTGTCCCGCGGCCGTCTCTCTTATTGTAACCGTAGCGCGCGCGACCCCTCCCCCTCCCACGCACGACTGTACTACTGTCGAGTCTCGAGCGCAACCGCCGCCGCCGCAAATCTCGCGCACATCTCTGCCGCCGCCGTTCCTGGCTATAAAATTCGGGTCCTGTGTTGTTGTGCGCGGTTATGCGATATGGCTGCAATCCTGCGTATAATACACGTCCTGAAACACACGGTATTTAAACATACGTAATTAATGGCGATGTTTCAATATAGTCCTCCTTCGACAGCATACACATAATACTACGATATTCGTGCGCAGACGGTGACGGGATATCGGGACTTTTGTCGGTTGACCGCGACAGAGAACGGCAAAATGTTAATACCAATAATAATTAGATGCCAAGTTTACGGCTGCAGAGAAAGAGATATTTAATTAAATTGATGTTGTAAAAAATAAAAGTTACTATTATTTTAGATAGAAAACCATAAAAAAAACTTAAATAATTTTTTTGAATTTAATGTTGTATTCTGTATTTATTAAGTACGAAATATGAGTTACTCTTTTAAGTAATTACTCATTTTAAAACAATACGTGTTCTATAAAATACTAGAACGAAACAAATTTGAGAACCAGTAAAACAATGTCCAAAAGATGAATTTAGTTCAAAGTCTGCCAAATTGTACTATATTTTTAAATTATAATATTAATAATCATATCTATATTTTATTTAGACACGAGTGTTTCCCGCTCGAGCGCAGTCAAAACGTCACGAAAAACTGTATGACTACGTTAGGTATTATTATTATAATTTATACTTGTACAACTGCTAATTACGATAATTTTACGTGTAATTCAAATCATAATATTACTAACAATATAAATAATTTCCAAATATAAGTGTACCCTCTACATTATATTATAGTCACATGATTTTAATAACTTTGTTAGATTTAAATTAGTAGATACCGACTAAAACCATTAAAACATTTAGTGATCGTTAAAAGACAACACTTATCAGTATGTAGTCAATAATTTTAATCACTCAGTTTAGTATGATAATGTTTTGCCTTTATTATAAGAAATGTATTGATTTAGTTTATAAAAGCGTGTGATGCTAATACCGTTTGATTAGTTGGCCGTGATTTAATGTGTTCTGGTGGTTTTCATAAATAAGGTTGCGTGTTCATTGCGGTTACACGCGTGTTGTCGATATACACCTGCGCGACGACGATTCGACGGTTTGTCATATTTTAAAACTGTAAAACACTCCAATTATAGTTGCTATAATGGTAGTGTATCATCATCATAGTCACATATAACTAATTTCCTGTATACACCACTTTCAGCTCAATCGACTAACAAACATAAAATTATTCTATAAACCACAGACCATTTCTGTAAAACAAAAATAACTAGCTAGATCGTCTCTACGACTACACAGTATAATAATATTTTGTTATTTTACACAAGCGCGTGGTTCGAGTTGGTAAGCAACAGGTCGCGCCGCGTGCCATCCCCTCGATAATCATTTGCCCTGCGCGATCGCTCGCAAATATTTAACGAAAACAAGCCACCGGATAAGTTTTGTAATCACAGCTTTTGTCGTTTACTATGTCGCAACGATTAAAACTCTACGTATAATAACAAGTTTAACATGCAAAGTCGATTTTTGCAAATCGCGGAGAGTGCAAGGGTGCTTATAACATCTTGTATTTCATGATTTTCATAATATAATAATTAAAAATCTAAGACACGTTCCACTACGGATCAAAATAGACTATTGGACTTGAAAATTATCCCCATTTAAAGAGAAATACGAAGTACATAATAATAAAACTGTTTAAATAAATATTCTGAAAACCAGTGTACACTGTAATTAAATATCTAGTATAATCAAGCATTAGGTACTTATAAGTTATCAATAAATAAAAACAATTTTTTTTGCAAACAATTTATAATTTATTTGATTCTATAATTGATTTGATTTATAGATAGAAATATTAAATACAACGGAAATTGCAGTGGCGTGCCTTGGGGAGGTAGGTTAAGGGTTATGAACTTATGACTTATGTATAACATAATTTTAACTTTTTTTTTTAAGTAACCTATTACCTTTATATTAGAGAATTGTTAATATGGACAAGTTATTAATTAATATTTTCTTCCTATGAAAAATGTCCAGCTCTATAATCCTAATAAAAATAAGATTTTCCGAAAATTAATTTTTCACATTTAATGTACACTATACCTGTGAACATACAAGCTTAGTTTTAAAATTTGTACAAAAATCCTTCCTTTGTATAATTATATAAAATGAAAATACGTGGAAATGGCCAGCAACAGGTATTAACTTTTCGAATTCTTTTTTTTTTTGTGTGTATTAAGCATGCTATTCCCGTGAACACGCAAAGATAGCTTTGAAATTTTCACTCGGCTATTTTCTTTATTCGCTTATTTAAAAACCTAAACTAAGCAATATAGATTATAATTTTGACAAATAAGTCTGAAGTTGTTGGGTACTACCTCGTTATAGGACATTTACAAGTGTATTATGACTGTTGATACGTTTTGTTCATAAATAATTTTTCCGCGATCGTTTTTCATTCATCGAATATGTATTCATTCCAACACTTGTTATAATCACAGTTTCCATTACATTTCATGACGTGGAACGTCTTCTTATAATCAAAATCTTTGTAACGCTGGTTGGTTGCATTATGCTTATATTATAACAAGTAACAACTTTACATAACATATAAACTACTCAACTATAAAGTATTTATTATAATCTAAATGACGTCAAAATCAATAACAGACAATATCGATACCTTATTACCTTAAGGAAAATTATTCTAAAAACATATTTACTATAAAAGCCGAAATATCGTCACATTCTCCGTGTTAGAACTAAAAACAAATTGTAGATTGTACTAATTTCATGAGTAAATACTAAGTAATTATATACTGTCTTGGTTGTTGCTAATACATAGTCATAATAATTATTACGTTCAAAACAAACTAATTGAATTTATAGAAACATTTAAAAATAAAAAATCTAAAAAATAATAATTGTAATAGTTTTAATAATAATAATAATAATAATAATAACTTATATAATTTTAATACCATGATAAAATCGTATAATATGTCGAATACATTTAAAATAACATAAATAAGACGACTAACAGGTAAAATTCACGATTTATCATTCCGTTCTATAGAACATATAAAAAGTAATGAACAATGAATTCATATACTGCATGTTTAAAGTTATAAAATAATTTTCAGTAACATCAATTCGGCTCCTTTTCACGGAATAATCATTTAATCGTTTTATATCAGCACCTAATACATTGCATTACCTAAATTATAGTAGAGTACCTATACCTATAATAATTATTATACTATAATGAATGCTGTAACACAATTATTCATTTTTTTTATTATTTTAATAAACGATAGGATCACTAACGTGTTGTTTACTAGAAAATATATCCTTAAATTGAAATTGCAACCCATGATTCCTCGATTATAAATTGTTAAAGTTTCGTAGTTACTCTTTGATGTTGTATACATTTTACATAATAAATTCGTGTTCATTCAAAACGATGTGTAAACAAAATGCATACACAGTTCAAACACATTAACTGGCGTAAGTATTAGGTATATCTATATTTCCATGTACGAGAAATACTTTTTGCATTTTCAAACGGAAAATGTAATCAAATAGTCGAGTTTTTAAACTTTTTATACATTTTATACATATACAGGTTTTTTTCATAGTGTAAAGCATTGACAAAAACTGTTACCTACCTCGTTACGTAATTATAAACAAACTTCATACTAATTTGTTTGACGGAGAATTTTATACAAAACGTTATAAGCCTACACGAGTTCCACGTGGTTTTAATGTTTCGTGCCTACAGCCAAGGACCTTCTTTTAACTATAGATAACTAGTTAACAAAAACACATATTGGAATAAATGGTCAAATCCTAATGCCTAAGCGATGTCGAGTAGCACTGTGAATCTTCGGAATAATCACCAGAAGTGTACTCGTGTTTCATCTCAGCCTGTCAATTATTTTTCGTCATTGACATGATTCGCGTAGTTACATTCTACTACCAACTTATAAAAAGAAGGACTAGTCGATCAGACGTATGAGCTAAACCTAACCCAAGCACTAACCGCCAGAATTTAGAAATATAGATTGTCCCACAGCCGAGATGCCCAATTTCCACTCGCCCCGAGGATTTAACTCGTTATCTTACACCACCGATCCCCGGGTCGATAGCCCGATATATATATATAACTATGTACCTCGATAACGCATTATTAATGGGACCTCCAACACAAAAATATGGGTCATTTTTTGTTGACGATTTCCCTCCTCCCCCCACTTAAGAAGGTGACCACGATACTTGAATGTACCTATTATACACTAAGATCGAAATGTATAAATAGGCGTGATTCCTGATTATTGATTATGATAATGTACTAGTACAACATTACTACTCGACATCATATGATTTAAATAGGTTCCTTCACTAAAAACAAACTAAACGTATAAAAATATATTATATAAGGATAAATATAAGTCAATCACATTTTATTTAT